GGGTGGGGGGGTTAGGGGGGGGCGGGTTGGTATAGGTGCTATGTGGGGTGTTACCGACACCCCAAATTTTTTATTTTCTTTCCCGCTTCATGGCACTTCTCAGCGAGGGCCCTGTGCCAACCCCGCCCCACCTCCACCCACCAAATGTTTTTTTTTTTTGTCTCGGAGACACCCCGTTCGAGTTTTTTTTTTTTTTTCAATGATTTGAAGGTACGGGGGTGTAGAAGGCCCCCGCACCACCCCCCTCCCGCCCGTGTCCTGACCGTACCGCCGTCTCCGTAGGAGGAAAAGTCGTGAACGGCCCCCGTGAACGGCCCCCGTGAACGGCCGTTCACGGATTTTAGGCCCGGTGACCGGCCGGTCACGTTAATGGGGCAGGCACTGGTTCAATTATAGTCTTGGGTTGTGGCCAATCTCTAATCTTCTTTTCTTCAGGCCTTAGTCCTTCCTCGTTTACTATATGTCCTAAATACAAGACTTCAGGCTTAGCAAAGTCTGATTTCTTCGGATTCAGTTTGAAGTTGCCCTCGCGCAACTTCTGCAAGACCATTCGTAAATGTTTCTCGTGATCTTCTAGTGTCTTACTATACACCAGAATGTCATCGAGGTAGACTACTACGAACTGATCAGGCCATTGACAAAACAACTCATTCATTAACCTTTGGAATGTGACAACCGCATTGGTCAACCTGAAATGCATAACCACGAACTCGTAGTGACCATACCTGGTCCGGAATGTCGTTTTACGTTGATTCGCGGGAGCCACCTCTATCGGGTGGTACCCTGACTTGAGGTCAATCTTACTAAAATACCTACATTCATGCAACAAAGAGGCTCCACATCTTTTACGGTGGCGGAGTACATCCCACGATAATCTATACAAAGACGCAATTCACCTTTCTTTTTGGACACGAATAAGACAAGGCGCACCATAAGGAGATGAGCTAAGGAGAGTCCATCGTTTGTCAGAAAGTGTTTGGGGTTACTTTTGCAGTTCCTCAAGTTCCCTAGGAGACATTCGGTAGATGAGACCCTTGGGAATCTTGCTTCCGGAAATGATCTCAATAGTATGCTTAATAGCATGCTCAATAATTCTCATCGGTTCATAATGCAAGTCCTTGTACTCATCAAGACGTTTTTCAATAGAACGTGGGTAAGATGAGGAACACTAGCATACTCGGTTGACAACTATCATCATCACCTCCTGATCCAACTTCTTCTTTACTACCATTGACTGGAAAGATGGGTAACTCATACAATAGAAAAAACAGAGTAGAGTCAGAGTCAGACTTATGATACAACTTTATCGCACGCAGTTCGGACTTCTCGTCCTTATTGTTTGACAATTTTATCTTTAAACTTAACTTTTGGGTCGGTGTCCTCATGCCAATCCATACCCAGAGTTATGTTAAAGGGTAAATTTTTCTCAATTAGGAATGATATCTTGTGTAAAATCTTCTTACATCCTTTATCCTGAAATGACACTAAACAGGATCGACGTATTGAGAGACAGTGATCGTGCTCTCGTCAGCCAGTATAGATGTTATAAGTCCAGGTAAATCCTTTACCTTCATTCCCAGATGCAACTTACGAATTGCCTTCTCTGAGATATAAGACCTCGTCGATCCCGGATCTAACAGGGCACCTACTCGCGTGTGCGCAATCTCAATATCCGCGATCATCAACTCACCCTTAGACTTTGCTTTCTTCCTCCACGAACTCCGTAGTGCTAGCAGTTTATTATTGAGCTCGTCAAGGGAATCATCCAGTGAGAGAAAACAAAGTACCGTGTCAGGGTGGTCATAACGACGGGCGGAAGAAGAGTCGTCCTCCGCTTTGAGAGTTAGAAGGGTAGAAGGGGTTGTAGGCGCCTTACCTGGATCTTGATCTAAGCCCTTCGACTCAGTAGGAGCAGATGTTATTCCTATTGGCTTCTCGCTTTTGGGTTTCGAATACGTGGGCACCAGGCTATCACGTGCCCCTGAGTGCCACACTTGAGGCACTGACGATTGTCCATTTTGGACTGCCAATCCTCCCGAGTCGTGTTCATTTTTTTTCAGGGTCTCCCGAACGGGATACCGGGATGCTCGGGGAACGAGCGTGTCCTCTTCTTCTTCTTCTATTGACTTTGACCTCCCTTGTTGGTCATTACGGCAGTGACGTCACCCTTCCTGGACTCGCTGCCGCCATTACCTCCTCCTCCCTCAGGCTCATCGATGGGTAATTTATCAATTGTCTCATCGTCAAATAGCACAAGCATATGGTCCTGACGCTTTTGCCTCCAAATGACCCGCTTGCCATACCCACCAACCGGTCATGATTTGACGACCGAAGCGTATGTACCTTTGACTTGCGAGGTCATATGTTCTCCTTGCAAATTGAGATCACGAAATTGCCGGTAATTTTACTTACCAGACTTTGATTTTGTCACGAGCTGACCACGAATGGGCTCAGGCAATGCTAGCGAGTAGATGTAAAGGGCCTGATTATCCTGTAAATTCAACCCAGGTACCAGCGAAAGACAATTAACTTCAGGAGACAACGTATCCACTGTGGCCCAGCGTTTCTGGCCAATAGTGGTGAGCTCGTCAAAGGCCTTATCGGTTGTCGTTTTGTCGATAAATCTCTCCTTTATCTTTGGAGAAATTGTCTCAACCTCAGAGTCTTTGCCCACTAACTGATATCCTTAAAGCGAGCGGCATTGGCTTCGGCCAGCACCCATTCCTTAGCCACTCCTCCCAAACAAGACATAGAGAAAGCGACCTGACTTTCATGCTCCACGGAACTTGTCCCTACGTAAGTCTGTATCTCCGCAATCCATAACAACAAGTTCTTTTCCTTTGTGTAAATGGCAGTTTCATTTTGACTTTTTCTTTTTTCTTCATTTTTTCTGCTTCCTTCACCGGTTCTTCTTTCTTCTCAACTTGTCTTTCGGGTACTTTCTTAGAACCTTCGGGTTTCTTGGGTCTCACTCGTTTCATTGCATCCTTTAGTAATTTCTCTTGGGGTTCCTTTTTGTTTTCTCCCCCCTTGGACACCTCTTTATACACCATATTTTATTTTCCCTTCGTCCTTCTGATCATTGTCTCCACAGCGGCGGTGTCACCGTTAATCTTCTTCTCGAGATGAACGAGGTAGACCATAATAGACAGAAGAATAGATGCAACCTATGAAAGACGCGTCCGCGGGGTCAAGCTCGGATGCCGGACGCATATGCGGTCGCCTCCTCGGCTGTCCTCGTCCGTTACCAGAATTTTCCTGAATTAAATAATAGGTAAAAAAAAAAAAAAAGGGTTGTAGGAAATTTTAAGCTTTGCAACCCCATTTTTTTTTTTGCAATCCGACTTTGTTTAGGTTTTTTTTTAAATCAAAAACTAAATTGGATTAAAAATAAAATAAAAACATATATATATAAAGAAAAGCATGATTTTTTTTTGGTCATTTTTTATCATGAGATATATGGTCCCTAAGTTGACCTGTATTCTTTTTAGAAATGAATTTCTGTTTTTTGCATGGGTATGAGGTGTTTTAAAAAAATGCAGATGCAGAATTTGGAAAAAATAAAATAAAAAAAGGGTTTGATTGATTGATTGATTGATTGATTGATTGATTGTGAGTGAGTGTGTGTGTCTGTGTGTGTGTGTGTGTGTGTGTGTGTGTGTGTGTGTGTGTGCGTGTTTGAATGTGTGTGTGTGTTTG